GGATGTGGAGGGCAATGCTGATAGTTGCACCTGGCTGTGTGAGAAGATTTACTCCTGCCCTTAAAAACCTTGATGTCATGGATGAAGAAACAAAGCAGAATCACAAGCTTCTACCTGCATGGTTGTGTAGAAATAAAAACATATGCTGACTTCTGTGAGGCGTTTTTTTTGAGATGAGTTATGGAAAGCTGTTCCAAAACTCAGAGAATCATAAATAAAAACTGCAGTGGATAGAAAACTAATTTTGTCATCATGCCTTCTAGGCAGGTTCAGTGATGAGCAGATCCCATGCAGTTGCTCATAAATATGTGGGAAGTCACCACTGCTGAAATTAGCTACACCAAAAGGCATCTGAGGAGCTGTTTCTGGTTGTGCCTGGACAGGGTGATGCACAGCCAGCCAAAAGCCAGGAGAAATGGGGACACCATAGCTCAGTGGTTTTTCTGTGGTACCGGAACTTCTTTGAGCAGCACCACCTCCTGTTCCACAGAGTGCTCTAGGGTTGAGCTGGGAGGGTCTGCTAAAGTCAGCACAGGCTCTGCATGCACTTCTGCATAGCATTCTGGAGAATTAACTCTTGGGGGGGAGTGGGAATTTTAAGACATTGGGTACAAAAAAAAAGATAGTAAAAAGCAAAAATGCAGTGTGTGGATTATGCTGGAAGTTCTTAAGAGTGAAGGGTGTAGACAGTTTATAAGATCTTGTCTCAAAGTGTGGAATAGTTCTAATGGGGTGTAGCTTATTATCTCTTTGGTTCAGTAAGTATATAGTGACTTTTGTAATTTCAATTAAAAACTCCTAAGAAGCTCTTAGGTCTGGAGTTGGGTAAATTCCCTTCCATTCAGTGCAAGTGCTCCAAATGTATGTCAGTGAGTGAGAATCTGTTTTATCTAGGAGGTTATTGCTTGTAATGATCCTTGACCAGCAACCCATGTAAAACTCCAATTTTTTTCCATGGATACCAGAACAAGAACATGTATCAAGCACAGTCTAAAGTTTCTGGACTGAGAGAATAGATCAGTCTATATGGTCAATTTGGTCCCTCACCTCTTAATGAAATGCCAGGTTTGAGGGCTTTAATTGGGCATTGTTCTGTAAGGAAATAGGCCAAGGCTAACAGGTCACTGCATAAAAGGCAGTGCAGAGAAATGTCTCGTGATGCTGCCAACCAGGGCCCCAGCTCCATCATCAATAGGCACTCAGATTTTAGGTGTTATCTCATCTTTCAAGGAAAATAGGCTACTGATGTCTTTCAGCTTTTTATTATATGGGCCACTGCATTTCACCACCATCTCAGAAAGAGACATCAAAGGACTTTTCAGATTCTTTGTAGTAAGAAAAATAGGTGACTGCTGGAAACGGTGGGTTTTGACCATCGGTTAAATATAGCTTGTAAAAGAATCATCCCATTTTTTTCTGGATGTTACAAGTCACTTGGTTAATTAATGTTTGTTTTCAATTGAACTGTTTTAAGTCAAACTGTGATTAATTCTGGCATAATAAAATTATTACATAGAAAATTGCAGTAAAACACTATTATGTCATAAATAGCAAAGGATGAGTGATGCCAGAGAGCAGTTCACCATACACAAAGAGAACGATTTGTTCTGCATGGTGGTAGACTTTTCCTTTTGGCCATGAGCATATAAATATTTTTAAAGAAAAGCTGTAAGTCTGTGTAGTGATAAATAAGCTTTCAATAACAGAGCATCAAATGAATATTCAAAATATCAGTGAAATGTTTTCTCACAAGCATCTGTAGTTTGCAAATAAGTGTGTACTCCTAGTTTAGGGTGTTTGGAGAAGAACTCTCTGTTCCCATACCTGGGTCAATCATGTGTCCAGATCCTCATGCTCAAGTTCACATTTTGTTTGTTTACATCTACAGATGTAGCAATTTATTAATTAAAGTCGAGACTTCCACTACTGCAGTAACAGCAGAATTGAGGACACTAAGTTCAGTTTATTTATAATCAATGATTCAGGTTAACGGAAATTATTTTTCTGTCTGCTTATATTTAGAGGAAGGAGAATTCTGAAGTTCTGTGTGTCCAATATTGCCTAAAGTCTTAGAGCAGAACAACACTGAATCAGTATGATAAAAGAAGCTTGTATGTGGTGTTCAGTAGGAATAATTGCTTTCAAATAATTTTTTTAAAATATGTTTCATTTAACTGCTGAGATTCTATTAACAGTCTGAATTCACATTCTGTCAACAGAGAAGATGGAGAATATAGATTAAAGACAATAGTAGTTTCTACAGAAGGAAAAGACAAAATTTGGACTCTTGAATTCACAGTTTTGCATTGAAATTTAAACTAAAACTAGTACATAAAGGTAAAACCAACATAGGAATGATTTTGGTAAGCAAGCAAGCAGGTGCTGCAAGGAGTTGTGACTAATATTGCTTTCCCTTCAAAGCAGAAATGATCCTAAGCTGGTGTTCCTGGCAGCCCTTCAGCACCATGGTTGTAAGAGCACTTGAGCTTCAAGAGCCCATTTCTCCAGGTTGTTTCTCAGTGTTTCCAGGGGAATTCCCCCTCACAAAAGCACATCTTGCTGTCTGAGTAACTGGCAGCATCTCAGACTTGAGCCCTGTTCATTGAAAGAACAAATTCAGCCCTAGCAGGGGAAAAAAATGGGCTTTCAGCACACTCAGGTTTGAGCATAATAAATATCTCAGGCCAGCTCTTCCCTGCAGTGCTGGGCAGGTGTGGAATTGGCACAAATTTGGCACCATTGAGCTGTGTGCAGCTGCCAGGAGTGTTGGCTGCTGCTGGGCTGCCCCTGCCCTCCCCAGGCTCAGGGGACAGTGACAGCACGTGGGGACTGTCCTGGGCTGGCCTTCCTGCAGCTGTGCCATGTCCCCAAAGAGGCGACTTCCCTGCACACACTTTTAGTGTCTTTTTGCAATGAGTTGCAACTAACTCCTTTAGCTGCTGGAGTAAATTGTGTTTGTTAATGATTTTTCAACTTTCAAAACAAAAATCCTGTATTCATCTTAATACCTTGCTGTTGCTTAGCAGTCCTTAGCACGTGTTTGTGCATGCAGGGATTTAATTAAAACCTTAATAACTAAGTAATCACCACACAGTCTGGGCGTCTGTGAAATAGCACTGTGGGGACATTTCTTGAGTTCCTCAATTGCACACCACATTGCTATGTACTATTTTTGATGCTGGGTAATCGTACTCCAGCATTGCTGGTGAGGTGTACAGAGATTACAAGGCAGCTGGAGCAGCAAGCCCAAGAGCAGTGCTTTGCTCAGGCACTGTTTGAGGCATTTCCTTTGATCATGCCACAGCTGGGAGACACTCACATGTCCCAGAGACCAAGACTGAAGTATTCACATTACAGTGCCTGAAGTGAGTTTCCTAAACAGAAGTGCCCTGATTACTTCTCCAGAGATACTGAACACAGAAAACTTTTTTTTTAAAGTTTTCATGCTTTGCAAAGTGTCTCTCATGGCCTGGGTGGAAGTCAGTGTTTTGGGCATTGATTACTCCTGTAGGCTGGGTGTTCAGCAGAGAGGAAGTCTCTCCCTAGGTGCCCCTCTGCACTTCAGCTGCAGGGCACATTCCCCCTGGACTCCTGCTTTTGTGTGGCAATGTCCCACATCCATCACATCCATCCTGTGCTCGTGACAGCTGCACACACTGGCCCTCCCATGGCTCAGGAAGGTGTCCCTGGGGACATTTGGGCCCAGGCAGCTGCAGTGGCCCAGCCTGGCCTTGTCTGCATGGGCTGAGCTGGGCTCAGGGAGCACCAGGCACCCGTGTCCTGCCCTGCAGTGGTGTGGCTGCACGGGGCACCAGGGCTGCTCCAGGGAACAGGGCTGGTCTCACTTTGCCTCTGCCTCTGCCTTTGCCTCTGCCTTTGCCTTTGCCTTTGCCTTTGCCTTTGCCTTTGCCTTTGCCTTTGCCTTTGCCTTTGCCTTTGCCTTTGCCTTTGCCTTGCCTTTCCCTTTGCCTCTGCCTCTGCCTCTGCCTTTGCCTTTGCCTTTGCCTTTCCCTTTGCCTCTGCCTTTGTCTTTGCCTTTGCCTTTCCCTTTGCCTTTGCCTCTGCCTTTGCCTTTGCCTTGCCTTTGCCTTGCCTCTGCCTGTGCTGGCAGCACAGCAGTGACATTCCAGAGGTGGCACAGCCAGAGCCTCGTGCCTGTGTCCTGCTCTCTTGGCTGAGCGTGGCCAAGAGACCTCGGCCCTCCCATGGCAGGGAGAGGGGCCACACCATGGTGCACACAGCAAATACCTTTCTGTATCTTTTCCGCACACGTCTCTAGAAAATAAAAAAGCTGAGGGAGTATGTGGGTGTGAATGGATGAAGCAGGGACAGCCTGGGCAGCTGCAGCATGGACGTGGCTGCCACTCCTTGCTGTGAGCAATTGCCTCAGTGTCGTGCCCAGGGAGGGCTGTGTCCTGCCCCATGAGTTAGCTCATCGTTCTCCTTGGGACACACTGACGGGAACAGATGTGTTCCACACCCGACCTCTGTTTTTCTATAGCTCCTGAGCACATTTTTAATTTAAAATTCTGCTCTTTCCTATAAAAGGTAAAGAAGATGTCAAGGGCTTGCTGTTCCCATTCCAAATGAAATGGGTTCATGTCCTGTTAATCAAGAAGTACAGACGCAGCATTTGTCATTTCCCTTTAAAGTAATGGGTGGTTGATACCTGTCATTTCTCAAGAAACTATATACCAGATTATGGTGTATTTATAGAAATCTCAATTGCTGGTAACTTGGCTGAAGCCAAGTTTAGGCATACCATTAGTAACACATAATGAAATGACCTAAGTGGAGTCAGATTTGGGAGGGGGAGGAAAAAGCTATTTGAGTTGGATAGCTTGAGGATGCTGTTTTATTATTAAAATTAAGCTTCTGACCCCTGGCACTGAAGTGATAAAAATGAATCTTCCTATATTTCTCTTTTGCATTTAATCTTCCATATTGGAAAAGATAAAAAAATCAAATCTCCTTCTCTCCTTTGTCTCTTTCTTTTCTAGGTACAGGACCTGTTTATGCTACAGACCCACTCCTATACATGTCCCTGTTAATACTGCATAAGCTTGTACATTTATTAGTAAACCACTGACGGACTGCTCCCTCCACTCCTCCTCAGCCAAACAGAAAGGAACCTATTTAATAACAAACAAAACCCCTGACAAAGACATCCCTACTATTTTAAAGATGGACAGAAAGAGACTGAAAGAAGCATGATAAATTCTACATGGGGGGAAAAACATATTTTTGGGGATGCCACAGAAAAGTAAACCACATAGAATAATGCATCTAGTTTCCAGATTCTATGGTGTAAAGCCCTGCTCTGTGCATGGCACTTATGATTTCTCTATTTTAATGTAATATTTTTTCTTTTCTAAACCCTTCCTCTGACTCTTCATTTTGCACGAACTGTTGAGCAGTTATCTTTATGACAATATGTAAAGATGTTGGGTCAAACCCTTCCTAAGAAAGGAAATATTTTTAGTAGATTATTGTGTTTAGGTTTTTTTGGATTTCCTTTTTCTTTTTTAATTAAATTATTTCTTTTGAAGACATTAAAAAGGTACATCTTACCATAATTAATATTCACTGTCAATAATATTTATTTTTAAATGAAGATTGGAAACAAGGTAAGACATTTGTTTATAAACTGTATTGTATATTGCTGAATAACAGTTGAATAAAAAGATTTTGAAATAAAGTTTTTACAGATGTGTGTGCTTTCCCTGTGTCCTGAATGTCCCTGAGAAGACTTGATGGCTTGTGTGTCTTCCCTACCTTGTCACAGCACAGAGACTTGAGGAAAGATGCAGCACAAACAAAATAAAATTGAAATCAGTTCTTTTTCAGACACTCTTGCCTGATGCCAAAGCCCAGAGCAGAACGTGCAGGCTGCCAGTCCCAGCCTGCAGCTGCCTTTTCCTTGGTGCCACCAGTTATCTCTGGGCAGTCAGGACAAGAAGTGGTAGATGGACAGTGGGACAGTGTGTGGCATTCAGTGTAAATTGCTTTGATTTGCCTGAGGCCTCTCTGAAAAAGAGTGAATCAAGCAGTGGAAAATAAAAATAAATGATCCTGGAATGTTGTGTTCCCTAGTTCCAAGATTTGTTTAAAATATGTTCAGATTTTTAAAAATACATTATTGTATCACTTTTCTTATCCAGGTGAGCTTTCTCTAAAGAAGCTTTTTTACAGTAAAAAGAGTAGTTATTTTTCTGTTGCAAAATGCTTATTTTTCAAGTAAGCCAGTAAGATGGCTTGGTAAAGAAACATGACCTTCATTAGCTGAATTTAGTGAAGTACCTTGAAATTTCCTATGCCCGACTATGACTCTTACCCTGTCATTTGTGTGGCATTTTAGAAAGGAGCTTCCTCGTGAGAAAGGCAGAATGACAGCTGCAGTGGCAGCAGGACTGTGCCTGCAGGAGCTGCAGAGCAAACACAGGACATGCCACTGCCTCACCTCGTACCTGAGTCCTGTTCTAGAGGGAGGGCAGGAAGGGATTGTTGTTTTCTCACCTGGTCAGGATTTCCTTTTTCTAGGACTGCCAGTGACAGCCAGGGATTTGTGCCACTTGCACTCACTGGCTTTGAGACCAAGCAGATCTGTGTTTGGTATGTGTACTACACTGTAGTAAAAGCCTCTTGCACTGGGGCAAACTCACCATGGGGATCCAAAGGGGATAAAGTCCTCACAGGAATGCTCATCCCTTTACTGCCAGCTGTAGGATTGGGGAACAATCCATAATCCTCCCACAAAAAGCTGAACTGCTCTTTGGAAGAGCTCAGAGGAGGTGGTCATTGTGAGCCTGGAAGTGCATTAGAGCATGAGACACTGAAGAACACAGCAGGGCTTCTGAACCTGGAGAGAAAAGATAAATGAAAAAAAGATTTATATGTTGGACAACGTCTAAACAAATACCAGAATTCCTGTCTGGCAATTTGCTCAAGGGCAGTTACCCCAGCAGAGGTGTGCATGGAGTGTGCAGTGCCAGGAGAGTTCTAACCCTTCCACCAAGGGCTGGTCACCAAGTGAAACCTGCCTGTGTTTGGACTGGGGGTCCTCTGGCCAGCTCTTCATCACTGCTGCTATTTTCTCAAGGGTAGAGAATATTTCTCAGAGCCTCAACTTCCTTCTAAGGGAGAGAACTAAAATTTTTCCACAAGAGGAAGAAGAAAATATGCCTAAATTGATCTAAATAAATAGCAGAGGTTTGAAGCAGTGAAGCATGTCTAAGAGTAGTTATGCTTCTATTTCAACTTCAGTCCTACCCCAGCTGGTGTGCAAGTAAACAGGTATCTGCTTTGCTCTGATACTTTTGTTCCATCACTTACAGAGTACATAGTCTCTTGAATTACAGACTGTGTGGTTTGGAGGAAATATATCAATCATCTTGAGTTTGTCCTTCCCTTCCTTTTGTAGCCTATTACCTGCAAAGGTAAAGACAGCAAGTTTTGTGTGCAATGATAGGAGCAGAATTACCAAGGTCTTTTAGGCTTTAATCACATTAAAGGTGAAAAAATATTAAATCTACAACTAAAAGTAACTTTTTTATCCTTTCTGAGATCAGAATTAAGTGTGCCACAGTAGGAATAACAATTCTTATATTCCAATTCACCATAAAACCTCAGAAATACTAAACAATAACCTGTGGATTTGATGAAAAATCTCTTCTAGCAAGAGCAACAGGCATCTTTGCTTTCCAGTGAAGACCTGTACCCAGGCAGAGAGAGCTCATTCTCAGCACACAGGATAACTTCAACAAGTGAGATTGCCTTGCTTTACCTTTACCTTCCCCTTCACTATATGTCTGCCTTTAAAAATGTGCAAAATGAGTCCTTCAGGTTTTGGGGCCATTGTTTCCACATTCAGGCCAGCTCTCTTTTTTTCACAAAATACACAGCCTATAATTGGCCCCATATTACTGTAGTGCAGGGAAAATAAGTGGCTAAAGCGGACACTGCAGCTTTCAGTACAGTATTTAGTCTTTAAAAAGCACTTAAAAGAATGAGAAACATTTTGAAGAAAAATTGTAAAGAATTTGGAGCTTTATTGCTTATGAGTGTGTTGAGAACTTTTGCTAAAACATCTGTCCTTTGAGAGTGCTCTTTCTTCTGAAAAGGGCAACTGCCTCACTTCTGCTGATTGTATTTACAAAGGGCAAAGTGAGGTTTTGCCGTACCCTTAATGGACAGAGGCTAGTGGCAAATCTTGCTCTTTCATAAATTTCAGCATTCCTCGTGGTGTCTGCTGTCAGGATCGATTAGGAGTAAGTGCCCGTGCTGCAGAGCCCAGGGAGGGTGGTGTGGCTCCTGCAGGGCCACACGGAGCCGGGCACAGAGTCCCCAGCACCGCGGGTGGGGCGGCTGGTGCCTGGGGAGGCACTGGGGACAGCACAGGCTCCTCGCACAGCCAGCGAGCAGGCAAACATGAGGGATGGCTGCTGGGGGCCACAGCTGAGTCATCTGTAATATAATCATAAGGAAACACACATTTTTCCTGAGAGAAAATCAATAGAACTTTGCACTTTTCCTTGTAATATTTCCAGTCTGCGCCATCAGCTGCAGCTCGCTCACAGTTATACTGCCATAAATTCACTGCGAGTTAATGGATTTCCACAAAAACCAATGGATTTACAGCAGTGTAACAGAGCTGGTGCTACAGCCATGCACATGTAAAAATACATGGAACAAAAAGTAGTTTGATAGCACACAGGTGACCTTCAAAGTGCCAAGACCTAGTGAGTAAAAAACAAAACTACCCAGTTTGTGGTGTGCTCCTTTTCTGGCAAAGTTCCCGAGGAAAACGGAGCCTGCAGTGCTGAGAGCCTCGCAGTGCGTGGCAAGAGGGCCAGACCCACGGAAGGGAAGATGGGTGAGTGAGCAGCTTCACACTGTGATGGAGAGTGCAAAAGACTGTCTGAACATGTCATTTGTCATTTCCTGCATAAAATATTTTGGAGCCTAGTCTTGCTTAGAATTAGTAAGTAAGTAAATAATGTGCTCCCAAACTTATGTGTCAAAACTAGGTTGGTTAATGTATGAGCTGCCTTTGTTGCATTTGTTACTCCACAGCAAATTTCATGCTTAGCCAGAGGCTGGCAAAGTTCATTTATTCATTATCCCCAAACTTTGGGCAGTTATTATTCAAACTCCCCTAGTACATCTATTTAATAAGAAGAGAACAGAAAATTGATGGGATCAGAAATGTTAAAGTCTTAATTAATGCTTTTAGCAAAGACTGATTGGAGGGGGGTTGTTGTGAGAATATTAATGCACAGCAAGCGTGTCTGGCTGGTGTCACTGGGCAGGGGGAGGGCTCTGCCAGCCCTGTCCAGGCAGCTGTGCCCCTGCAGCCCCTGAGCTCTGTGCCTGTGGGGCACCACCTGCATCACCCCAGGGCTCTGAGCCTCCAGGGCAGGGGAAACCAGTGCTGCAAGCCTTGGGAGAGCACTGAAATACCAACATGGGTGAATTACTGCTGTTAATGGGTTTGAATGGTAAAGCATCCACTTAGAGCTGAGTAAAGGTGAGGGATTCTTTCTTTTCTGCTGTTTCTGGGCATTTGGGGTGTCTCTGTGCAGTGCTGCACATCCTGTGCTGCAATAGGGGTTTTGCTGTGGGCACACGGGTACCAGGTTTGGGTTTAGTTCATGCAGGAGCAGCTACAATTATTCCACAGGAAAATTAACAGGTCTTGAAACAACGGGAACGAGAGGAA